ATCGCTCCTTCCGGGGTCTTCGACACGTACTTTTTCTTTTGCCTCCGCGGAAATAATCTCGTCTATCTGCCTGCTCCGTTCGCGTTGCCCGCGAGAAGCTCCATCCGAAGTTCGCTTCCTCCCATGGCCGTTGTTTCCTCGAAGCGCGTGGAACGAGCGTGTCGGTGGATGGATCTTGGCATAATTGCGGAGATTCCGATATAAACCGACGGGGAAGCACGAGTCTCTCCGCCGATATTTTCGCCTCGGTCCACAGTCTATCGTTTAACGACGATCTTGCAAATTTCGATCGTGTTCCTTTGTCGACTCGCGAGATTGGACGATTTGTATGAATTTTTATTTCATTTGCATCGAGGAGTACCGGCTCGTTTGAAACCCCGCGATAAGATAAAGGTAGTCGCGCACATTCCGACTGGCCGAAATTCGAGAGGCTCTTCCATCGAGCAATCCGTTTACGACGGAGGGTGCTCGACCCAGAAAGATTCCGTATTTATTTTGCCACAAATAGGCAACTTACCGCGGACAATTTATCGAGCGCAATCGCCTAGAAACCAATTTTATTCCCTATCCGCTGGATTCGTGGAATGGTACAAGACGCGTATACGCGTATACGACAAAAGGTGTCGATCTCGATCCATAAATCGTTGAATCGCGAACGAAGACAGGGTAATTTCGGTGAATTTTAAGAACGCCGAAACCCTCTTGAACGCACGAGTTCGACGAGGGTGCGACACCCGCTTAAACAATTCCAGCCTGCTATATACGCGTATATATATAGCATTACAGCCCTCGTTTCTGTGCCAAAGATTTGGCCACCTCGAGGACTCGCTAGGGGTTGAGAGACTGCAACATTATGCCGGATTGCGTATAGTAAACATTTCGGCTACGAGTAAAACTAACCCCTACCCCGGGCAACTATTTCGACCAGAAGGGATGGTTACATCGTGTGATTCAGACCCGAGGGTATTATCGATATTCGAAATTCTACGAGCAGCAGATACGTACTTTCCGGCAAGTTAATGCAAATTAACGTGGTCGCTTCGTACGAGATCGCGTTTCTGTTCCAGATTTAGGGTACGAGGGGTGCAAAAGCATTTTTCGCGAAATTCCCTCGAATTTTTATTCACACGCAATGTCTAAGATAGGAAAAAGTAAACGACTGAAAACGCTCGTGATAAGCCAGTCAGCTTTGGAGCATGATAAATGTACAGCTTCGGGAACATCTTCGGAATTGTATAAATCTCATCCACGCAAAATGTTTCCGGGTTTCATGGATCTACTTTACATGTGGTCTCGAGCCAAGTATGACGTAGCTGGATTCTCTCGACACTTTGAAATTCTGGTTGCATTCGCGTAAAACAAATTTCCTTTCCTCCTGGCACGGACAAGCGTGCAAGTAGATGGTGTTTTTATTACGTCTGCGCAATACTCTTCCCTGCATAAATCTATTTTAATTCCTCCCGAAAACGACAGCTTCATCGTATCGATACACCAAGGACGCGGGCGTTAAATCAAACGGCACATCTTTTTGCACGGAAATTGCAATTTTTCAACTTCCCCTTTTTTCATCGACGCTAATGCATTTACTACATCCACAGGCGAAACGAGGAACAAAATTCTATTCCCGATATCTCCGTGTCCCGACCACTGTTTCCGTAATTAAAAACCGAAAATCGGGAAACAGAAACAGGAAGTACAGGTACGGAAAAGAAGTCGAGGGAACGAGGAGGAAGGAGGAAGG